TTGCCTCTGGCCATCCAGCGAGCATCCTCCGCTCAGCTAACGAAGGAGCCACACCGGCTTCCCGGGGGCTGCGTGACACTCAGCTCTTGTTCCTGAAGCTGCTCCTCAGGTCTCACCTATGGGTTTCTCGCACCAGCCCCTCTTGTCCCTGGGACGGGGCACCTGGACAGCTCTACCCCCCCATTCCTCCCCCCCCACACACGCATGCACATGCTTGCAGCTGGACTGGCCATTTGTGAGGGAGAGCGGCTCCTATGAGAGACTGGCCATTTGTGAGAGCTGAGCGGCTCCTATGAGAGAGGAGTCTGCGATGCTTAACTCAGTGCCGACTGTAGCAATGCTCAGCCCGAGCTAGGACTGCCTGGGCCCTCACCCGTCTCTGCCGTGCTGCCTGCTCCAGGTGCCGCCACGCCGCCATTGCCAAGTACTTTGGGGACGCGCCCCCCGCCTGCACCAAGGGCTGTGACCACTGCCAGAACCCCGCGGCCGTGCGGAAGCAGCTGGACGCCTTGGAGCGCAGCAGCAGCTGGAGCAGGACCTGCATCGGGCCCTCCCGGGCCGGCGGCTTCGACCCCGAGCTGTATGAGGGCGGCCGCAGGGGCTACGGGGGCTTCAGCAGGTGAGGCCCGTGCAGCCGGGGCCCCGCCCTCTGGAAACGCCTGGCGTTCTCTCCCCGGCGCCATGGGCCACGCGGGGGCTGCCAGGCCTCCCGAGGTGTGGAGGGGCGCAGAGGCCAGGCAGGGCTGCTCATGCCCAGCCTGCCCCCAGGTACGACGAGGGTTCTGGAGGCAGCGGGGACGAGGGCCGAGACGAGGCCCACAAGCGGGAGTGGAACCTCTTCTTCCAGAAGCAGATGAGTCTGCGCAAGGTGAAGGGGTGGGGCCTCGGGGGGCCCAGGTGAAGGGGGGGGCCTCTGGGGGCCCAGGTGAAGGGGTGGGGCCTCTGGGGGCCCAGGTGAAGGGGTGGGGCCTCTGGGGGCCCAGGTGCCGCCTGCTCGCTCACACCCTCAGCACCCCTCCCCGGTGCTGACCTGGGTGCTGTCCTGCAGCGGGCGGGATGCCTCACCAGCCTTTCCTGTCCTCTTCCAGGGCAAAGACCCCAAGACAGAAGAATTTGTGGCCCCAGGTCAGTATAGGGGCCGTGGGCTGTTTCCGGGGTGTGGATGGAGGGTGCCTCCTTGGGGAGCGGGGACTCCAGAGAGTAGAAGCCTCCCCCCTCCCCCCAGATGAGGACTGTCCGCTGAAAGAGGCTTCTAGCAGGAAGATCCCCAGGCTCACTGTGAAGGTAAGAGGCAGCGGCGCCTCACCCCTATCCCCGCCTCAGGCTTGCGTGAGCGCCTCCTCCCGCTCCCTCTCCGCAGGCCCGGGAGCACTGCCTGCGGCTGCTGGCGGAGGCGCTGGGCAGTAACTGCCAGGCTGCAGGCACCACTCAGGGGTGAGTGTCCAGGTCCCAGGGCCGGGAGGGTTCTCCACAGCCTGTTCCTGTGGAAGCCGCTGGAACTCTGGGTCCCCAGCCTGTTTGGGGGCTCCCTCTCCTGATTATGGCTCACCCTACTCCCAGGGGCTGCACCCCTACAGCTCCACCACAGGGCGGGCTCGGTCACCCCGAGGGGCTGCAGGCTGCCAGGGTGTCCAGGTTGGCCCAGAGCCATGTGCAGGGTCCCCCAGGAGCACCTACCCGGAGCTCAGCAGGCAGAGGGCTCAGGTCTGCCCGTCACCTCCACTCCCTCCCTCAGACCGGACCTGCAGGCCAAGGCCGTGGAGCTAGAACATGAGATGTTCCGAAACGCCAAGGCTGCCAACCTGTACAAGGCCAGCGTGCTGAAGAAGGTGGGTGGGGCGGGGCGGGCGGGGTGGGCGGAGCTTGCTCCCGGTCAGGGTGGGAGAGGTAGCCCTCAGGCTGGTGCCACCCCCCTGCCCAGGCAGCCCAGCATCCACTCCTCACCAAGCCACTCATTTGGGGGGAGCCCACTCCCCGCTTTGCCAGCTGGAGGCTCTTCTAGCCAAGCCCCTGAGGACTGGACCTTGTCTAGTGTCCAGGTGCCTATGGCCACAGACCACAGAAGCCCGCCTGTGGGGGCCTGGGCGGGGGCTGCGGGTGCCTGTGGGTGCCCAGCCTGCCTGCCCAGCCTGCCCATCCTGCCCCAGGTGGCCGAGATCCATAGGACGTCCAAGGACGGGCAGCTCTACCACCCAGCAGGCAGTGCCAAGGGCTGCAGTGCCCAGGCCGAGCCCCCAGAGCCCAACGAGCATGACATCCTGCCGGCCTCCCAGGTGTACTCGGTGAGCGGCCTGGGGAGGGCGCCACTTCCTGTCCTCCGGCTACGGCCCAGCCCCACCTCCCTGACAGCACCCCCCAGCCCCGCCGCCCCTGACATTGCAGTCCTGGTGCTGGGGTGCCCCAGGCAGGCCCGTGAGCTTGTCTGCTCCTCGCCTGTCTCTCCAGCCCCACAGCCTGACCCTCCCCCACCCCTCAGATCGCCACCAGCACAGCCATACCTGGCCCAGCCTGGGAGTGCCCTGGAGGGGCCTGCTGGTCAGCACCCTCTCTCCTCCTCACAGCTCAAACCCAAGCGGGTGGGAGCCGGTTTTCCCAAAGGCTCCATCCCGTTCCAGACGGCCTCGCAGCTGATGGAGGAGATGCGGGCTGGGGGGCAGGCCCCGAGGCCAGAGCGGAGAGGCCAGCAGGAGCCCCCCAGCCCGCTATGTGGCCTCCAGGATGAGGACAACAGTGAGCCTGTCCGCAGGCCCAGCGAGGCCCCCGGAAGCAGTGCTCCTTGTGGAGGGCCCTCCCCTGAGAAGGCAAAGGGCCCCTCGGGGGGCAGTCCCGCGGCCAAGGCCCAGGCCAAGAAGCGGCAGCTCCTGGCCGCGGCGGCCCGCAAGGACTCTCAGGACATCGCCCGCTTCCTCTGCCAGAGGGCCGAGAGCCTGACTGGCCTGGCTGAAGCCCCAGGGCCAGCAGGTGCCAGCCCTTCCCGTGCTGGGGCGCGGGGACCCCTGGCTGAGGCCCCAGAGACCCGGACACGGGAGGAGGATGGAGCCCTGGGACGTTCGCCTGCTCACCCCCAGGCTGAGTGCACCAGGGAGAGGCCAAGGTGAGGGCCGGCCAGGCTCGGAGCCCTCTGGAATCCCCTTCCCTCATGGTCCTCTCTGACCCTCTCCGACAGTGGGCTCTGGGGGCTGCCCGGCCGAGGGCACAGCTGGAACCTGGAGCCCTGACGCCTGCTCTCTCCTCGCCAGTGCCTGCCCACTGCGAGACCCGGGGCCCCCGGAAGGCCAGCTCACCCTCCTTGAGGGGGCACCGCGGGGCAAGCGGTCCAGGCCCCAGCAGGTACTGCCAGGGAGGGCGCTGCGGGCCGGGCCCTCTGCTCTGTCTCTGCGTCCAGGGGGGCTGGGCGGGAGGGGCAGCCCGTGCTGCGGCCAGTCTTCCAGAGGAAGGGGAGGGGCCGGCGACAGGGAGCCAGGAGTGACCCTCCACCATGGCCCTGCCCAGGAGAACCCGGAGAGCCAGGCTCGGAAGAGGCCTCACCCCTCAGCCGGCGCCTCCATTTTAGCCGAGGCCAACAACAACATCCTGGCCAGCGCTCAGAGCGCCGAAAGCCGCCCGGCCCAGGGCTCCTGCCAGCTCACGGCCCCGGGCGCCTCCCTGAAGGCGGCGGCGAACGTTGTGGTCCAGTGCCTGACCCCTTTCTACAAGGAGGGCAAGTTTGCCTCCAAGGTAGGCCAGCTGGTGGGCTCTACCCTCCCCGGGCCTCGGGCACGGTGGGGGGAGGGCAAGGCAGGGGAGCCATAAGCAGCAGGCGAGCCCGGCCCCTTCCCGCCCTCGGCTGCCTCGCCCTGTGGCCGTGGCCGTGGCCGCTCGGGGCAGAGCTGGGGTCTGAGCCCTCTGCTCCTCACTCCACCCGCAGGACCTGTTCAAAGCCTTCGCCCGCCACCTCTCCCATTCGCTGGCTCAGAAACCCTCTCCCGGGAAGAGCGGTGAGTGCCTGGGTGCCCGGCCGGGCAGCACTGGGGGCCCTGCAGGGAGGTGACCCTCACACTGCCCCCCCCGACTCTAGTGAAGGAGGAGGCCCAGCACCTCATCAGGCAGTTCTTCCAGGGCCGCGCCCGCTGCGAGAGGGAAGCCGACTGGCACGGCCTGTGTGACCCACAGAGATGACCGGCTGGTGCCCAGCAGGCCAGTGTCCTCTCCGCATCCCCTTCCCCCTCCCCCGACTCCCGCTGGGCCGACTCAGGAATGGCAGGCGGACAGCCTGCGGCCGCCAGGGGCATCTCTGCTCAGGGTCCTTCCCCTTCCAACCACACCTCGCCGTGGAGATGGCCCCGGTCACCTCCCAAATCAGGGTCAGAGGCCAGAGGTCAGAGGTCGGCCCACCTTCCTACGTACTTGCAAGGCCTGAGGCCCTCTCCCCCCTGGCCTCATGGAGCCCCGCCTTAGGAGGACATGGGGGGCGTGGCTGCTGCCAGGGGAACAGGAGGCAGAAATGGCCCCTCCACCTTTGTATCCGGGTTGTAAGCCGGGGAGGCCCCCCTGTGCACGGCGGGGGCTCCAGGGCAGAGCTGAGGGTGCGGCAGCTGCCGGCCCTGCTCTCGGCTGCTGCTCGGGAAGGCGAGGCTGGACCAGGCGCTCCCAGAGGAATAAAGGCCGTTCGGACACGTGCACGCAGTTTTCTCTCGGGGCTTTATTTTCTCCGCTGCGGCTGTGCCACCGAGGGGCCAGGTGCCCTCTCCCCCAGACGGGCAACATCAGCTGCCCACGCCGAGTTCCCACAGCCCCTTGCGCCCCCAAGGAGGGGTCTTTCTAGTCTTCCCCGGTGATGTCACTGCCCAGCCCCTGCCTGTGACCTCCACGTGGGCCAGCAGGCTGTGCCGGGCCAGAACAGCCCAGCCACCAAGTCCAAGCCAACGTGACCTGACGGCACCCAAGGGAGACCATCGGTGAGGCTGGATCCAGGGGTGGCCCTCCTCCCCTCCACCTCCACCTCCTGGGGGAGGCAGCCGCTAGGCGGAGCTGTCGCTGCTGCTGAGCAGGAAGGCGATGGTGTACTGCAGCTCCTGGGCCTGCGGGCACAGGCTGTGAGGACAGCCCCCCCCCCCCCCGTGTCCCCCACCGCCCACCCGCACCACGCCCGGGCAGTGGGCATCGGCTGGGCCCAGGCTCCGGGCATGCCAGCCTCCCAGTGGTCAGAGGCCCCGCCACTCACCTGCGGCAGCTCGAACCAGATGGTCTGGGGGTTGTCCACGGAGCCGTAGTTGAGTTCCAGGCCCGGGGGCCTGTCCTCCTCCAGGGGGCTCAGCAGGTGCAGCCGCTGCAGGTCCCGCAGGGCGATGGAGCGGCACGGCGTCTGGGGCAGAGGGGCAGGCGTGACCCTCTCACGGGGGACAGTGCGGGGGGGGGGGGGGGGGACGGCCGCGGTGCCCAGGCCCGCACGGGAGCGGAGCCCGCCCACCTGGGAGCTGGGGTCCATGAGGAGGAGGTGCTGGCGGTTCAGCCCCAGGAGGCTGGGTCTGGGCAGCGTCGGGTCGCTCGCTCGCAGCACCACGTAGACGGTGTAACCGAAGAGGGGCAGCTGGCTGGCCGCCTCTGGGGGTGCAGGGGTGAGACGGAAGATGGGGGTTCTGGCCCCTGGGGACCTGCCCTCCTTGGCCCCCGGGGGAGTGAGGGACAGGGAAGGTGGAGCAGCTTTCTCGGCCCCTCCATCCTCCCCTCCTCCCTCCTGGGCCTCCACCTCCTGCCTCCTCCCCAGCTGCCCCCGGCACCCCACGCACCGATGAAGCCGATCTGAGCTTCCTGGGCGCTGCGTCCCTGCAGCTGCCTCAGCTCCTGGTCCACCAGGCCCCGGAGGGTGGCCATGTTCACCTGGCCCTGCAGCGGCCTCGGCAGGTACGCCAGCAGGTCTTGCCTAGGACACAGCGGTGGGTCAAGCTGGCCACAGCCGGTGCCGAATGAGTGAACCAGTGGCTGCTGTGGGTGTCCCTGCCCGTGAGCTGGGCTGGGGAGGACAGGGGCCTGCACTGGTCCGGCCCCATCTGGTTAGGGCCCGGGAGGGTACCATTCAGGTGGCCTTGACCTCGGATTGTGGGCTGATGCAAGGCCCTTAGGGTGGATGCTGCGGTGGACCTCAGCCCCAGGAGGGACAGGGGAGGGACAGGAGGGGGGGTGGACCTCAGCCCCAGGAGGGACAGGGAAGGGACAGGAGGGGGGGTGGACCTCAGCCCCAGGAGGGACAGGGGAGTGACAGGAGGTGGTGGTGGGGGGTGCATACTCACTCTGAGGGGGGCGCCCCGTGGGGCCTGCTGACGTGCTGTAGGGCAGCCAGCCTGGCAACCTGGGCGTCTGCCTGGGCGCTGACCAACAGCTTCCCCTGCAGGTAGTCTCGCTGCACCTGAGGGCAGAGCGCAGTGCAGGCCGCTGGGCTCTAGAGCCGCCCACAGTCCTGCCACCGTCCCTTGTCCTTGTGGGAGGTGGGGAGGCGCGGAGGGCCCGCGCGCGGGGCTGTGCTGGGTGCTGACCTGGCTGTAGTGGGCGCCGATGTAGGTGGGGTTATCGAAGTGCAGGCGCGTCTCCCAGCCGAGCCGCCGGCTGTGCAGGCTGCTCTCCGGGGCGGCCAGTGCGTCGTTGAGGTACTCCCGGGGCCGCAGGGGCCGCACCAGCTCCCCTGCAGGCGGAGCTCGGGTTCACCGCCCCGCCGCCCGGCCCCGCCCGCCCCTGCCGCCCGGCCCCGCCCGCCCCCGCCCGCCGCAGGGTGGGAACCGCCTCCCCCAGGGGCGCAGAGGGGGACCGGGCAGGGGCGCCCCCCTGAGGGCAGCCTGCCGTCCTCCCCACCGCTCACCTTCCCCTTTGATGAGAAACAGGGCGAATTCCTGGACCTCCTCGGGTTCTGTGATGCCCATCTTCCCACACAGCTCCTCCAGCACCTCTGCTGCCACCTGGGCACGCGGACAGGGCGTGATGGGGGCCGGGGCCGGGCCGGACGCCGGCAGCTCTCCCCCTTCCCCCCCAGCCCCTCTGGGGAGCTCACGGTGAAGGTGCCGATGTTGGTCTTGTAGCCCACGCCTCCGGGCAGGTAGATCAGGAGCTGGCGGGCCATTTTCCCTTGCTGCGAGACACGTGGCAGGTCAGTCCTCCCCGGACCAAGGCCCTGGCTCCCCCAGCCCCCAGAGGGAGACCCAGAACGCCTGCCGCCTGCACCCCCCGTACCAGGAACGCCTTCATTTCCCCGGGGGGCAGCAGCCGCCGGCGCCCCCCGAATTTGACGGTGCGCTGGAGGTGCTCCTGGCAGGTGCGGGCCAGCTCTGCAGAGGACCGGGCTGTGGTCAGCAGCCTCTTCCGACCCCTCCCCACGCTGCCCAGCCCCAGCCCGGACCCCTCCCGCGGGCACCTTGGCTCCTGCCCGCGTCCTGCAGAAACCGGGTCACGTAGGGCATCAGCGTGGTGGACGGGGGGAGGAGGCCGGTGAGGAGGCTGAGGAGGCTCCAGCCTCGAGCACAGAACTCCCTGCGGGCACAGAGCCTGGGCTCGGGCTGTCGGGCCACACGGCGGGCTGCCCGCCGCCCACCCTGTACCCAACACTCACGGCCGGGGGTGTCCCGTGACCTGCTTGACGGCCTGGCAGTAAATCTCATCCCTGAGGTTCTCCTTCTCCCGGCACAGCTACGGCACAGAGAGGGCAGGTGGCAGGGAGGGTAGCCAGGGGCGGGCGGAGGGCAGGGGGGTGGCGTGGGGGCAGATGGCTAGAGGCTGGGGGCCAAGTGGGGGTGTCAGCCCAGTCGGTGGTCATCTCTGTCATCTCACTCGGTTTACTGGTGTCTGCACTACTGGTCACTCCAGTCACTGTCTCCGCCCGCTTCCCGCCGTGCCCGGCCCGCCCTCCGCCTTCTCTGTCCCTCTTTGCCTGCTTGACCTCTAAGGGCTGCAGTGTGCTCCTCCCGGATGCTCTCACTGCTCCCTCTGCTGGTGACTGCCTGCCTCCCGCTCACACTTCTCCCTGGAACCCCAGCCCTCCCGAGGGAAGTCTGGGCCTTCAGACCTCACCTGTCCTTCAGATTCCTCCAGCAGCTCCGGCCCACTCCTCCCCGGCTTCCTGACCGAACGGCCAGGGCCTGCGGCCTCCCTGGCCCCTCCCACCCCCACATGCAATTCCTGCTGCCACCTCTCAGCCCCCGCTGGCACCGCCTCTCAACTGGCATCACCGTAATCACCTCCTTTGCCCTTAGGCCCCCAGAAGAGCAAGTCACAGCTGGAGCAACCCAGCAAACACAAGCTACATCCCCCCTCAAAACCCTCCAGTGCGGTTCCCTCTCTCTCTCTCTCTCTCTCTCTCTCTCTCTCTCTCTCTCGAAAACTCCAAGTCCTGACAATGGCCTGCAAGGCCTGCCGTGACCTGGACCCACTGTCCGTCCCGGGGCGCATCCTCCACTCGCTCCTCGCCCACTGGCTGCAGCCAGGCTGGCCTTGCTGGTGCTGAGCTCACCCTCCCCCCAGGATGTCACCCGGCCCCTCCCTCTGCCCAATGCGCTGCCCCGGTGCCCACAGGCCTCCCTCCCTCTGCCCACGTGCCAGCCTCTGCACTGGCTCAGCCCCTCCGCTGCCTTCCCCACGGCACTTAACCCCTGACACATTGCACCTGTCTCCTCCTCCTGGGGCGTAAGCTCTGCGGGGACTCAGTTGTATGGCTCGCTGCCATACCCCCAGCATATAGTAGGTGCTCAGTAAACACGGTGGATGATTTGAATGGACCGTGACCGAGGGTGTCTCCCCAGGTCCCAGCGCGCACAGCCCTCGCTTACCTTCAGCAGCTCATAGAGCAGCTCGATCTCGTCCTTGCCCCGGGGCTTCGGCTGGTCCCCCATAAACTGCATCAGGACTGCAGGCGGGATGAGGAGCGTGGGAGCCGGGCGGGGCCTGGCTGGCCCCGGCCCACGTGTCCCCACACAGGGCTTCCCCCGCCATCGGATGCCTCATGCTCACAATGTGTGTGAGCCGGGAAAGGTGGCAGACGCAGCTTTCCCGGTGGGGAAACAAGCTCAGAAATTCTGTGGGTGCCCGCAGCCCCCCACGGTGCACCACCACGGCCTTCCAGCCCAGAATCTGCACATCCCACAGCCTCTTGGGCAGGAGTGGAAGTGGGTGGAGGCCGCCGGGGTACAGGAATCGCCCCCCGCAGTGGCAAGCTCATAGGAGAAGGCACCACGGACATGGGGCCCAGGCCGGCCACTCACCCTGGAAGCTGTCCACAGCCCGCCTGTTCAAGTCCTCGTCACTGAGGCTGATGAGCGACTCCCGGATGGGGGCCTGCAGGCAGAGAGGCGGGGCCATGGGTCTGGGGTCTCTGAGAACCAGGGGGCAGGTCCACTGGCCCGACTCCCCCGCGGCCCCCTACCTTGGAGTACTGCACCAGGCTGGCCATGGCTTTCTGGGCGTCTCCACCTGCCTGGGCCAGCCTGAGGGGCAGAGAGAGCACAGCCCTGCTTGCTCGGCCCGTCCGCCCGTCCCAGGCTGTGGCCTGGCAGCCCTGAGCCCCCTTCACAGAAGCGGGGGCCAGGCGGGTAGGTGGCTCAGGGCACTCACAGGGTCTGGGGCCTCCGGAAGTATTTCAAGGCAAAGTCCTGCATGGCGTAGCTGTGGGAGACACCGGACAGCGAGGCCGAGACCCCGGACAGCGAGGCCGAGACCCCGGAGAGGGGCAGGCTGCTGGCCTCCGAGTTGTCACTGAGTGCCTGGCTCTGGCGTCTGGTGGGGACCTGGGAGCACAGGAGACCTGGTGCCACCCCGACACCTGGCCTCTCCGGAGACCCCTCCCCAGCCCCACCCTGAGGAGCAGGAGAGCAGCTGCAGTGAGCACACCAGAGTCAGGAGTCAAGAGCTTTTTATTGAGCATCTTCTAGGGCAGCACCGGGGCACCCGTGTGTGTGGGGGGGGGGGGGGGGAGGGGTGGGGCGGGCAGGGCGCTCAGTCCCGCTGCGGAGATGAGGAGGCATTGGGAAGAGGGGGCAGGGCGATCCTCACTGCTCTGGGGCCATCGAGCCCCTTCCGTCCTCAGCGTCTACTCCCTCACCTCCAGCCCCCTCTCCCGCTGCGCAGGGCTCGGCTCTCTGCGCAGCAGCGAGAAGGAGAAGTCCGGGGCAGCCGCCGGCTGCACCATGTCCACGGGAAAGAGCCCGGAGCGGCCCCCGGCAGAGCCGAACTGCCAGCCTGGAAGGCACGCAGGGACCTCGCCTTACCCACCTGCCCCTCCGTCCTCAGAGTCGTCTCTCACCCCCCTCCCTGCTGCCCCGCCCTCACCCCCATCCCCGGGCCACCCTCCCTCGTCAGCGCCCTGCTTGCCCCCGGAGAGACCTGGCTCCAGATCGATGGCCGGCAGCAGCTTGATGAGGTCCCCGCGGTGGAAGCTGAGGAGGCTGCGGTCATCGGTGATGTAGCTCCGCAAGGCGACCACGTAGCCGGAGTCCTGCCGGCAGGAGGGGGCGCGGGTGAGCGGCCAGGGAGTGGCCAGCCTGCCTGTGACCCCTGACCTGCCGCCCTACCTGCTCGCCCTCCATTGGCCCATTCCCACCTCAGCACCCCGGAGTCTCAGGGACCCACCCCACCCGGGAGCCTGGGGGAGCCCAGACGGCCACGGCGCACGCGCGGAGGCGCCGGCCCTCTCCGCGCACTTGCCTTCTTGAGCTCACTCAGGAAGAGCTCGATCGTGGCCCTGATGGCGCCTGCCCGGGCCGAGCGCAGCACCAACTGCTCGGCCTTCAGCGTCAGCTCCAGCGTGGAGCCGCCCCGGCACTCCACGCCCAGCACCTCGGCGAAGCTGTGCACAGGGTGCGGCATGAGCTGGGTGCCCTCCTGTCCCCCCACCCACCCCTTCCCAGCCCAGCCCCTGCCAGCCCAGCCCCTGCCAGCCTTCCCCCTGCCAGCCCAGCCCCCTGCCAGCCCAGCCCCTGCCAGCCCAGCCCCTGCCAGCCCGCCCCCTGCCAGCCCAGCCCCCTGCCGGCCCAGCCCCCTGCCAGCCCAGCCCCTGCCAGCCCAGCCCCTGCCAGCCCGCTCCCTCCCAGCCCACCCCCTGCCAGCCCAGCCCCACCTGTAGGAGCAGAGAGTCTTCAGCTGGTGGAGGCAGATGCCCGGGCCATGGGCCCACTTGAGCAGCCTCAGCCCCCGGTGGGACACCCCCAGCAGCTGCACGTTGCTGCCACTGTCGCCCTGCCCAGAAAGGGGGTCACAGACAGGCTGCTGGGTCCCCCCCACATCCACGATGCCGTTATGCTTCCTCTGGGGCCCACCCCATCCCACCCCCGATTCCCATCCCTGCTGCAGAAGCCCAGGCCGTGCCCCCGGGTCCAGAGTGGGTGCTGCCACCCCGGCCCTCCCCGCTCACTCACGGACACGGGGAAGATGCGGGAGAAGTAGTTTGCCCAGTTATCCCTGGCGGCCACCACGATGCGTTTCTTGACATTGTCCTCGGCGGCGCCCAGCGAGTCCAGGCCCACCTCCAGGTCGCCTGCGGGCAGGGGCGGCCCCGTCTGTCCTGAGGCTCCCCGCAGAGCGACCCCCAGGCCTGCCCTCTCCCTCCCCCAGCACCCAGCTCCCTGCCTCCCGGCTCCCGGACCTACCCAGCAGGTCTTTCATTCTGCACCGCTCGTCCGGGGAGATCCGGGTGCAGGACTCGGAAAAGGTGTCCCTCAGGATCTGGGCAGAGCCGGTGGTCACCACCAGGTGCCGAGGCCAGTGCCCCCACGAAAGCATCACCCCCCCTCCCGGAGACGGGGAGCCCAGGGGCGGAGACGGGGCCGGAGAAACATGGGGCTTCAAGCCCAGGGCTCGACCACCCAGAGCCCCGCCTGCCCGCCCAGTCGCCTCCCGGGAGCAGCACCCCTGGGGGAGGCTAGGAGCCCGGGGACGGCATGGTACTGGGAGCACCCAGAGGCGGCCAAGGAACCACACCAGTGAGACCTGCTGTGTGCGGGCGCCTGCTGGCACTGTGTGCACTCCCCTAATCCTCATGGGTCCCCCTCACAGGGGGCGAGGGTTCCGTAGAGGAGGTGGGGCTGGAGCCACACAAGTGCCCCACAGGTGCGGGCCGTTACCCTGTCCTCCACGGGGAGGGGCGGGCACCGCCGGGTGTGGGTGTGCTCTGCCCCCGCCGTGGGGCGCTCTCACCTGCTCACAGAGGAGCCGCAGGTTGTAAGGGTGGCTGAAGCTCTCGCGGGGGTAGAAGACCTGGAGGAGGGCACAGAGCGAGGCTGGCATGGCGTCCCCGCAGCCCCTCACGCCCCCCGGCCCTGCCTTCCAGGACAGACAGAAATCCCCTCCCCGAGGCGGCCGGGGGCGGCGCTCCGGGTGTGCGCGCACGAGGAGCAGATACTGGGGTTCCCAGCGGGTCCCGCACGGCCTGCCCCCCCAGCCCTCATGCCCACCTCCTTGCGCAGGAACAGCCTCCAGGGCGCGCTGGTGTAGGAGAAGCACACGCTGCCGGAGGGCACGAGCAGCTGGGTGCTGACCCCCTGGTCTCCCATGGCCCCCAGGGAGCCTGGCGGAGGAGGGGCGGGAGCTCCGGTGAGGAGCGGCCGGAGCCCGAAGGACGGCTGGGGAAGGGAGGACCCTCGCCGCCCCCGCCCCCGCCCCGCCCCCTGGCCCAGGCCCCGCCCCGGCCCTTGGCCCCGCCCCTCGGCCCAGGCCTCATCCCTAGGCCCCGCCCCGCCCCTTGACCCAGGCCCCGCCCATTGGCCCCGCCCCTCGGCCCAGGCCTCATCCCTAGGCCCCGCCCCGCCCCTTGACCCAGGCCCCGCCCCAGCCCCGCCCATTGGCCCCGCCCCGCCCATTGGCCCCGCCCCTCGGCCCAGGCCCCGCCCCTCGGCCCAGGCCCATCCCTAGGCCCCGCCCAGCCCCTCGGCCCCGCCTCGTGGCCACGCCCCCGCCTCGTGGCCACGCCCCCAGCCCCATCTCCTGCCTCAGACTTTCCCCCCTCCAGTCCTAGACCTCAGCAGGGCCATTAATTTTTTTTTTTTTTTTTTTTTTTTAGGGCCATTAATTTCTGACAGAGCTGCCAGCTCTGCGTGGAGGACAACACCCTGTGTGTGACGGTCCCTCGGGGCCAGTCGGGTCCTAGGGGTGCCGGGCCCTGCCCTGGGCGGGGACGTGGAAGCTGGGGCTCCAAAGTCCAGAAGCCAGAGCAGCTGACCTCAGCCAGGCGCGCCCAGAGGCCGCAGGGAACCCGGCCGCCCTCCACCCCTCCCGCCAAGGAGGCCCACCGCACGGGTCCTGGGCCTCCTTACCGCGGGGCTCGGCCGAAGGGGTCCCCGGGTCCCCCGGTGGAGGCAGGGGGGGCACGGGTGGGGGTGCGGGTGCCTGGGCAGCGGGTGGGTTATGGCCGAACAGCTCCTGGAGGGGCCCCTGCTTCTCCCGGATGGTGCTGGAGGTCTTCATCCGGGGAGTGGCCTTGGGCCGGGCGGCCACGGCGGGCGGAGGGCCCTTCTCGGGGCCGGGGGACAGCGGCTGCGGGGGCACAGGGGGCGCTCACCACACAAGCTGGGTCTGGGGAGAAGGCCACGTGGGCCCCTGAGAGCCTCGGACCCCTGAGCAGAGCAGCCGCACCCCATGGGATGGGACGGGCCTCACCTGGGGGGGCAGCTGGTCACTGCTGATCCCCAGCTTAGCCAGAGCCTCGTCCTTTGGGTTGTTTTTCTTCAGGAAACTTTGGGGGGGCTTCCTGAGGGAAGGGAAAGGTCAGGAGTCCGCAGGCCTCTCCCCGGGAAGGGGCAGCGCCGGCCGGCGGCCCCGGCCCACCTGGCTGGCTGGACGGGCACGGGCACGGGGCCCGGGCGGCTCTGGTACATGCGGATGATGTTACGGATCTCCCTGCTGGGCTGCCTCGGGGGCTCTGAGCCGGGCACCGCAGCACCCTCCGGCTCCGGCTCCGGCTCCGGCTCCGGCTCCGGCCCCGGCTCTGGCTCCTGGGCCGGCTTCGCCTTCCGGGCCGGCTCTGCCTCCGCCTTCCGGACGGCGTTGGCCCCACCTGGTGCCGGTGCCGGTGCCGGTGGCTTCTTCACTACCCGGGCGGGAGGCGGGGATGGCGCTGCCGAGGAGGAAGCACGTGAGACCCAGTGCAAAACCGCAGAGCCAGGCGACCCCGGCCCCTGAGCCCCCACCCCCATCTCCCTGCCACCTGCACCGGGTTCCTCCTCTTCCGGCTCCTCTCCTCGGGGGATCTGCACCTTGGCCGGAGGCTTCGCCACCTTCACCTTGATCTGCTGCTGCCCTGTAAGTGCCGATGGCCCTGTCACCCTCCACCCGGCCCGCCCATCCATGCCCTGGACAGGCCACACAGACTCCGGGGACCGAGTGCAGCGCTGTCCCCTGGCCGGGCTGGGGCGGGGGCTGCCACCCCCAGGCCCTCACCCATCTTCTGGAAATAGTCCCGCTTCTGCTGGAAGCTCCTGCGCCTCCCCTCCTCGTCCTGCGGGGTCTCCTGGGGCGTCTCCTGCGGGGTCTCCTGGGGGGGCAGGAAGGGGCAGTGAGGAACAGCCCTGCCAGCCAAGCTGTCCCTCTCACGGTGAACCCCTCAAATCCCTGGGACTGGGGCCTGGCGGCATCTTTTCTGGATCTTCCTGCTCCCCTGCCCGTTCAG